AAAAGTCCGGAAATCTCCAAAATTTCAAGTTAAATGAAAGACATCCATTGTACTTTTCACTAAACCTGATATCGTGTTCAATTTTCTGTAGTTATCTTTCATTTTCGAAAGTAAAACCAACCAAAAAAGCGAAAAAATGTCGACCATAGAAAACTATGTGGAAGGATTTTTCAAGAACAAAACTAGCCCTGTGGGGTGGCTGGTGGTGGGTCGTGTACACGTTACAAAAATCCTGTGCGGGAGAGTAGTAAGGTCGAAATTCGTTCTCGCCCGAGTCCTACGCAAGTAGCAAATTTGACATAACATGCATGGCAGCGAAAATTTTTCTGCACGAAAATTTCACTCATAGGAATCTTGTAGGAAGAGCCAAAAGAGTTTTAAATAAATGAATCCCCCATCGTAGGGATAATTTTGATCAAGTTTTTTGTGGAGTTCGAGGTTGAAAAGACGATGAAATCGTGGTTTAAGGTGAGTTGTTTGTTCAAATATGCATGGCGACTGAAGTACCGACCCTTGTCAGAGTATATATAGATAAGATCAGCATCAGATACCATAGGGAAATTATATAGGAAAACAAAGGCGCGCGAAAAAAAATGTTCTAGTGCATTTTTTATTGATTTTTTTACTCTTTCGCATTACAGAGGACATTATCTTGATCTCGAATTTAAAAAGTAATTAATTATTTAATTTTTCCGATTTTATTTTCACCATTCACTTTAATTTAAATTGGGCTCCCTGTGCAGTCACCAACCAACAAGTATTTCTTCAGATTGCTTCTGACTGTCACCCATGGTTACCTGTGGAACTGACTTATGAGTAGAGCCTGGGAATGAGAAGGACCATCATCCTTCAGTGACATGTCTTGTGCGGATGGCGCGAAGGCACATGTCTACTTCGTTATACTTTCTTTATAGAGAAAGATATGTTCACGTTTTAAAGGTAAGTTCTTATTGTGACGAATGTTAGTGTCAAGAACAATAGCTATAAAGATTAAGAATATTATTTTTATTGTTTTTAAGTGATTTTACGACGAGAACGCGATGCTTTGTGTGGTTGAATTAACCTGAGCTTCACGCACGAGAGGAGGATTCGAGGTAAGATTGTTTAGGGAGAGAAAATTGGCTTTTAATAGAGAAAACAAGATAAAATACTCAGGCTTCGACAATTTAGAGGGCTCAATTTCAACTAGAAGGCGAGCACGAGGGTATACTTCGAGGGTTTTGGATAGTAAACCACTTTACAGAACCTTTCATAATTACGCGACCTCGACAAATTTTGGCGCCAGCACAAAACACGGGAAAATCCGAGCGAATTGATATCAATGCAAAATTGTGATTTATCTCAAATGGATGAGGAGAAATAGAGAGGAAATTCAGATCATACATCAAGTTAAGCAAACATTTAATTGTGTTTAAAATAGATTTATGTTCTATCAAAACTGGACTGGCGTCAGAAAAAACGAAGTGTCTCCGTGTCCGACAGTCGGACAGGGTTACAAAAGAGCTCCGTGTCCGACAGTTAAAAATTTTTTGAAAATATTATGAATTCCATTGAATCTTTTACATTGTAAACATAAGAAGTTTGAAAAGACGGTCCTAATCTTCAACTTGGTTGCCCCGAATCTCGACAAACAACATCCGTAAGCACTCGGCTCTCTATAGCCGAGTCGCAATTTGAGAGGGACTTTTGGCAACCACGGACTGTCGGATAAAATATTCCGTATCCGACAGTAATAGAATTTCCAACTTTACTGGCGTATTCTAACATATACTTTATAATATACCAACTAAAATTAGAGCGGCTTTGTTTACTTACCAACCAAATGTTAAGGTATTAGGATACGTTTACGACCACTATGCGCGCAAACTTAAATAATGCGCTGGCTTTATAGTATAACACAAACAAAGTATACATTTTCTGAAAGCTGAGTAAAYATAGTTTATGAAGAMATYTTCAAAATACGGTTTTTTCAATTGTTGTTCACATTATTGCCCTCCAAGCGAAATTTGACCATGCCTCAGTGAAAACGTTAACGGACACATACATTTTAAGCTATGTTTGCGAAAAATGTCTTAACATACTCAGGAGAAAATAAGCTCCAAAAGGGTGTCCCAGATTTTTGATATCTGTTTTATGTCTCTCGTTATTTTTGATCAAAGTTTGGCGATTGCTTTTTGTGTGTTGTTTAGAGTAAAAAGCGTCATAACTTTGGAAAGAAATTTTTGGATCATGAGTTACTTTTTAAACTCTTCAAATTTTAGAAAAATCGAATGAAATCCAAGGGCCTTTTAGCTTTTTGAAGTTGAGGTTTTAGCGGCAAAAAAAAATCGAGAAAAATGCATTTCTTTGTTTGGAGCCAGAAGCTGCAGGGAGCCACGATGGTGTTGGYCAAAACACCTTGAGCCTTCCATTTTGTCATCACTTGTCAAATTATCTGTTGTTCTGGACGATCGCAATGTATGATCTTTTTACGAAGACAAAGGAGCATTTGGACTCAACATTATTGCAAACGATGGGACATTTCCGGTCTTGATAAAATCACTATTTCGATTCGTCTCAAAATTTTGGTTTTTCCAATAAAAAATTGCAAGAAGTTTCACTATAAACATATGAAAGACGAAAGTTTAAAGTTACGAAATTTCAAAAAAAACATTTTCGAGCAAATCGTCATTTTTCGTATCCTAATACCTTAATTGAGAGCTAAGTCGACTTCTTCGTTGTCTGTATTGTCCTCAGACTTATTCTCTTCATTTGTGAGCGAAGTGTTTTGAAGGGAGTAGGAAATTATTTCTTTACTCGTTTGATTTCTTCATTGAAAGTCGAATTGATCTCATTCACGCTTCATTTTCACACCACAGAGCTGACAATTACATAGTGTATCCACGGTAATTTATTCAAGTAAACATTAAAATAGTCAAAATAAGTATGCATGAACGATGGTGAGAAGACTGTCGGACATGAAACTCCATGGATGACAGTCAACAAAACGAAAAAAAAAATACACAGTATTCTCAATAAAAAAATAGACCAACAAGAAAACAGAAAAAGACAACAGTGATTTATTTAAGCCAGATTTAAAATTAAAGAGACGACTCAAAATACTTACTCCGTGCCCGATAATTTTTGACTGATCTTGGTGACCTATCGTTAATTACGTTGTAGGGGTGGGGGGAGGGGGCGGTTTCATTCTAAACTCATTCCAAACTACAAACTAAGGTAAATAGAATTTGTACCCCCCTCTAAAATCGTTTAATGGAAAACATACCCCCCTCTTTCAAAACTACAAATAAAAATTTAATTATTTGAAATAAAGTCACTGTTTATGAAAAGCCTAAAAACTAAAAATGTACCCCCCATTTTTATGGATTTTAAAAAACGCACCCCCTCTATTTCCACCACCCCCAGCGACGATTAAAAGTAATAATTTCTATCTATTAGTCCAGCTAATGTTTTGACAATTTTATAGCAACTTTTCTGAACTTTAGTCGCATAAAAAATAAGATGCAATTTAAAACTACACAGGTAGCCCAACCGAATAAATAGTTTACAATGTGGTATGGAAATCAAGAAAAATTCATTTCCTGACTTGTGAGTTACACGTTGAATTTCACTCGACAAAGGATATCACGCCCATTGCTTCACGATTTGTGCGTTTTCCTTGTGAAACTTAACGTGGAATTCCCTCATAATCTGATGAATTTTCCTATAGAATCGATAACAACTGAAAGTTCTCATAAATTTGAGTTTGTTGGTTGGACATTCTGTATTTCATTGGGAAACTATCCATTGTTGATCAATCATGGAAGGGATCGGTGTGAAGTTCATAGTTGGATAAATTTAAATACGCATATTTTCACAAAACAGCTTGTAAAAGGGAGTTGCATCAAATTTTTAGGATGACAAGTTCCCAGAGTTTAAAGAGTTACAACGCAATTGTTTTTCTTGAATAAAATTAAGACAGGTGTCGACAATGTCCACATAGACCACGCCCACGAGAGTTCACATAGTACCAACACAAATGTTTTTCTTGAATAAAAATAAAGACGTGATTTTTCTTGGGTTTTAAAACTTATTTGAGAAGATGATCGAGCTCAGAAGTTTTCATCGTTATAAATAAAGGTATTTTGTCACTTGTTTGTACTTTCCTTGATCATTGGAACTTGCTCTTGCAACATTGACAAAACCAGTATCTGGACTTTGGTATAGTCTTCAGGGAAGTGCAGAGGAAGTGATGCCAGTTCAAACAGTGATCACAAGCAAGTGATTCTTGGGTATCTTTTATTGTTTTCTTGCATGTGTTACATACCCATGGGCATTCTTTCTTTTTGTTTCGGACGTCTAAGACCTTCATCCATGCCTCTTCATGGAAAAACCTTTCAACACTATAAATATCAATGTGTTGATCGTCATGTACAGTGTCTTGTATCAGTGGAATGTTCGTTTCTACATGAGTGATACCCAACAAATCCATTCCGTTCAATGCTTCTGCAGCCCTTAGTTTACTGTTTGTGAAGCAGTTCAAGATGATGCGATCTTTGTCTTGTGGTTTCATTTTAATAAAAGGTTTAACCCTTTAGGGACCAAATTGTTTTGGAGATTGCATTTTTCACCGATATAGTCTTCCTTATTCAACTTCTAAAAAAATAAATTGAAGAGATAACTATAGAAAAGTATACATATTTTTTATCCCAAATAAATTTGCATTATTATAGTGAACAATACAGACCATAATATCTATCTTGTAAATATTATGGGCTATTTTTTCATGACGTCACAAAAAATCTCAATTTTTCTTTTTTTATTGAGTTCTCATAGTTTCTCACTAAAGAAAAATAGAGTGAAATATTGATTACATGATAAACTTGCGTCTTTACTTGGGTTCAAAAAAAGAAATTTTTTTCCCCAAATGCTGCACTGTATCAAAAAATATGGATTTTTTGTGTCAAGCATACTCGCATAATAATTAGGTGAAAATGTCACAAGTCCCACCTTATGTAAAGAATAATTTTCCGCAAGACAAAAAGCATTCATGTTAACATCCTGTATCAATGTATCAGCAATTGTTCATATTGAATTGTGAAAACGGTTCAATGAGAACACTTTAACATTATGTTACAAGCAAATTTTAGGGGGGAGGGGTGGTGTTGACAAAAGCATGATCCAGGTTTAGCATAATTTAGAAATCATTTTTGAAGAATGTGATAAATAATTATGCAAACAAGGACTATTCTTACATTCGGAAGAGTAAGTAATCTACCTTCAACATTGCTCTGCTTATATCCAATATTCTCTTTTTGTGTGCCAATCCTGCCAGCAATTTCGTTCTTTGTTTACACAAAGAGGTGTATCACCACAGGTCTTGCAGACAATTATTGTTTTGTAGTGGTAGTTTAGTCCCTCTTCATGAGCTTTCTTTGCACAAACAACACAGTCTCTTCTTCTGTTACACACTTAAATTTCATGCTTGTTATCATTCAATCTTGTTTCATCTCTAGCAGATGCTTGCCATACTTTAGGACGTCCAACTTTCTTACGAAATGACCTATTACCCATGAGCTCCCTTGCAATTTCAAGTCGGTACTCTACAAAGTCCTTAGGGGACTGAGAAACCTGCTTCATGATTATAAAAGAATCTAGTAGACAAACCTCTAGCCCATAACCAAAAAGCTTTTTCCAGGCTTTCTTAGATTTTCTGATCACAGAAAAGTTCTTGATAAGCTGGTCTGATAAATCTACCCCTCCCCTGTATTTTTGATAGTCGCAATGGGCAGGTGGACAAGGTACAGCAATTGCTTCACCATTTCTTCCTTTACGCTGTGCATTAGGAAGACTACCATCATCATGTTTGGGAGTGTGAATAGTTGATAAAAGGTAAACTGTCCTCTTATCAAACCAACTCATTGCTAGGAGCCTTTTGTCGCTCATCCTCCATTGGTAATGACCACGTGCGAGATGCCTTTCTTGTCGTTTGGGAATAACAATATCTTGAGGGAACCCTTTTCTTTTGGCCTTTACAGTCCCACAACAATATATATTTGCATCAATCAATTCTGTAAATAAATGTGGATCAGTGTAAAAGTTGTCCATGTATAAATGGTGATTGAATCCTCGTAGTGCAGCTGTCAAATCTCTGACCACTCGTCTAGCCAAATGCTTTTCTGCTGCAGCTTCCTTTCCTAAATAGACTTGAAATTTATAGATGTAGCCAGTTGCTGCTTCTGAGAGCACCCACAGCTTAATTCCCCATTTAGTAGGTTTGCTCTTTATGTATTGTTTGTAAGACAATCTACCTTTATGGGGAACCATTGTCTCGTTGATGGATATATGTTGAGAAAGATTGTACTCTCTTGTAATATTGCTGGAGATAATGTTGAGAAATTCTCTTACTTTGTAAAGCTTATCATAACCATCCCTGCCTCGTGGAATGGCAATCGAATTATCAGCAAGGTGAAAGTACCTTAGTATTTGTAAAAATCTTGTACGTGGCATAACAGAACTAATACTGGCTTGATGGACTAAATAATCTTCTCCCCAGTACATTTTAAGTCTAGGCAATCTTATGATTCCCATCAAAATAAGGATTCCAATAAATGCCTGCATTTCCTCAATGGTGACTGCATGCCATTTACCCTTGTGTTTATTAGGTTCTGTTGCCAGAACAAAATCATGATATCTGTTAGTTTCCCTAACAATCAGTTCCCATATGTTGTCAGTGAATATAACATCAAAATATGCTTTATCATTGTCTTGTTGCTGAGGAACAAACCTTCTTGTAGGTCCTGTACTGTTCTGATTAAAATCTGGACGTCTTGTGTATGTATTATTTTCAGACCAATTGATTCCTGGGTCTGCATTTTGTCCTTGTCTTTGTCCCTGTGCTTGCCTTTGCACACATGCTCCTTGTCCACGTCCTCGGCCACGACTGCGACCACGACCACGACCATGTACATGCCTTTCTTCATCATTTATAGGTTCTCTTTCTCTGTTTTGTGGTTGATTATCTGGTGTTGGGTTAGTAACGTCATCTACAAATATTGAATCGATCGGTTGAAAATCGAAAGCAAACATTTACATGAAACTGAAAAGACAAACAAAAAAAACACAAAATCTTACCTATTTCACTTGATTCAACTGTCAGAGTCTTCTTCAATTGCACTCGACAGATCTTCTTCACTTGAATCATCAATATCGCTTTCTTCTTCGTCCGAAAGCACTCTTTGGAGAACCTCTTGAACTGTGAAATACCTGGCCGCCATTTTTAAAGGGACGACTTCGAAAACGTTCAATTTTTTTGAAAAAACTCGAGATTTTTTCCTTGAAAAACGATTAAAATACTCAAACATGAAAATTCAAACATGGCTTCCAGACTCTGCATAAGTTTAACTAGAGGGGGGTCAATTGATTGCTTATGCTAATTAAAATACTAAAGGTCGCCCAACATCGTACAAATATGTACGATTGGTCCCTAAAGGGTTTAAATAAAGAGCCATCATTTTTCTTTTCCTTTGTTTTAGGGATGCCAATGACTGTTACCTCTGCTCCTTTTGGCCTTCCACGTCTGAGCATTCTTGGTGGCATTTTGATACCTCTAATTTGGCAATGGTTTGTAGCTGTAACTTCACCTTTGTCGTGATCATCAATTTCTTCCAATTCAGATTTCCTGATTTGTTCTTGTGATGTTCCATCCTCACAGCAACATGTACCTACAACTGCATTTTTGGCTTCGTGTTGCTTGTTTTTAACTTGAATTTTCCTTTAATTCTATTCTCCATGAAATCATTTGACTTTGCTCAAAGACAAATATCTATATTGATGGGCGTATACATCTAATTATTACATAAAGAACAGTTCGGGCATTTTTCGTTCAATAGTTCTTGGATATCTACTTTCCTTACTTGCCTCTTAAACATATTAATTGAATTTAATTCCTTGATATCTTTAGGCGGTTTGGACCAGATAACTGGATCTATGTATCTGATACTACATGTATGTTTACCATATGTATAGTTGTGTTTATTCTGGGAATTGTGAAAAAGTGTGAATTTCGAAGATTATATTCTGTTTTATTTGGGTTAAAGAGATCTGCTATGTATTTTGTACCTTGTCTTGTTCTTTCTGATCTACGGTTATTTCCTCTTTGCTTTCTGTTCTTGTTGGTGCAGTGTTTGCCAGATCTTGTTTTTCTCTAGCCTCAGCTTGTTGCGTATCATTCATCGCTTCCATTTCGTCCTCTAGCTGCTCCAGAGTGTCATCATGGAAAGAAATGTACACTTCTTTACCTAACTTCCAGTTTTCGACTATTTTTCCAAGAAGATCTATCCTGGATGAGAACTTTCTCATTCCTGCTTCACTTGCCAAAGAGGCAAGACACTGGGTGATACTCAATGCCTTGCGGAATTTCTGAGCTTGTGTGAGAACTGGTGTTTTCTTTTCTGTTACTATGACAGTGATTTCCGACATGTTGTCATGGAAGGAAATTCTTTTGTTGCAACAGAATCGCGAACCGTGCTCCAAATGCTCCAAAGTCCATCTTTTCTTGCAGAGGGAGGATTCAAACAAAGGAAGATTCAGAACAGTTCTTACTTTGAAGATATGACGGCATGGCAGTCCCATTCGACTATAAGAAGAGCATGTGCATGACAGTGGCGTTGTTCTTAACTTGCCTCCAGTATAGTTGACACCAAAGTTATCGCCACACGTCCTGGTATAGTTGGAGTAATGGGCAACTTTGGAGGCATCAATCTGAGAGCAAACATGGTCAAATGCATACGGTGTTAAAAATAGTGTGTATTGTTTAACTGCTGGCTCATAGCTGTTGTAATTTACAGGGCGACGTGTCAGTGCCATTAGGTAATGATGATTATGCTCGTTTCTAAGGGTTTTAAGGACAAGGAATAACTCCTGGAAGAACTGTAGTAAACTTGCATATTTAGAACAAACGCTTTTGATTTTACGAACCGTTGATTGTAATCTGTTGTTCATGGTTTCGCCTAAGTTGAAAGCTTCATCTTTATAGCAAGCCACCCACTGGTCCTTGATTGGATCCAATTATGTTCTACATACTGCAATGTATTTCGCTGTCTCTGGAATTCCTTGTCAGAATTTGCATGCGCCATCTTACTGAGAATTTCAAGTGATCGAAGTCTCTCAGCAGCTGTGATGCCAAGTTTCTTGCAGGTTATTTCCCTGCAAAAGGATCTTAGAGTGTGGAAAAGGCAGATGTTGAGAGATGCCTTAGGAAAGCAGCTTTTAAAAGCATCTCTCTCTGTAAAATCTTTATCCGCCATCACCATCACTGTACCATCCCAAGAAGGGTTCAATTTTTTGAAAGCTGTTACTGCAGACTCGATGACAGACTGCGTCTCCTCTGCCAAAACAAATAAACCCACTATTTCACTAGAACTATCTCCATCGACCACAAGGAGCGGATAATTTGGCATTCTGAGATCGAGGAGTTTATAGGTGGCATCAAGCAGAATGATCTCTGTGTACTTAGAGTACATTCCTTGCATGTACTCATCTTGATAAATAAGGCCTTTGAAATTGTTATCTTCATCAATTAGTATCTCCATTGTAGCACCTTCTTAACTATTCAAAAACTCGAGGACCTGGTCCAAATCATTTTGGTTGAGTTTTGTCTTGGTTCTTTGTTTTATGTTAGATATGTCTTTCAGAGTTATCTTTTTCCCTGAATCTCTCGACTTTCTGCTGAATTAGTTTGCTGTTAGCTTTTAAACTTAACGCTTTCTTTATGCCATTTCGTACTTCTTCTGGCACCAATCTCTGCCTTGGGAGGTGGTCATAGAGTTCTTTGGTTAACGAGTGGTTGTGTTCTTCCTTTAGACGGACAAATTCCAGGGCTTGGCCATCAGCTGACAACGAAACATTTTGAAGGGACAACCTTGGCGAAATGATTTCGTTCTTCTTTTTCGCTCCTTGGACGCGTTGGGATGACCTCCAAATTTGCATCGAAAAAATAGAAAGTAGTACTTTAAAGAGGCTTTAGCATTTGCAACTCTTTTTGGAGATAATTTTCTTGCACGTTCTAGAGTCCTGGAGTCTTTCTTAATCAACTCACAGTAGTTTGCTTCTTCGTACGCCTTTTTGAAAGTGAAAAGGTCTTCTACATGTAAGTTGTTAATTTTCTGGCCCACGAAGAAAGGACTTTGCTGGCCAGTAACATTTCTAGGTGTCCTCGGGGTCTTTTGACTCCTGGCTGCTGGTTGCATCAAATACGTCATCTTGACTATCACCACCAGCATTGTCTTTGCTTCCACCATCAGCAACATCTTCTAGATCTTCTTGTTCACTCTCACTATCTCCGTCATCTTTACTATCACTACCACCACCGTCTTTGCTCCCACCATCAGCAACATCTTCAATTTCACTCTCACTATCTCCGTCATCTTTACTATCACCACCGGCATTGTCTTTGCTTACTCCATCAGCAATATCTTCAAATTCACTCTCACTGTCTGCGTTATTTTTACTATCACCACCAGCATCTTCTTTACTTACACCATCAGCAACATCTTCAATTCTGACTGATCTTGTGCAGTTGTCTTCAAAAGCATCGACATCATCAGAGATTAAAGTAATCACGTCATTTTCAAGAACACTATCATAATCTTCCTCCTTGACGCCAATGGAAATCGCATCTCTTTCATCACCATCAACATCTGTTACACAGTAATCGCTAAAAGGTTGACATCGACCTGCTGATAACAGCCAAGAGATTATGGCGCATCTTAAAAGTCAGAATGCTTTGTTGGACGTTATCCACGTCAGAGATGTTGGGAGGTTTGCTGAGCTTCGAAGGAATGTTTTTCTCCAAATATTTGTAGCACGAGAAGCGATGGCAGCAAGGACTGCTATGGCAACTCCACAAATATTGCCACAACTTTGCAACGGAATGTTCTTCAAACACCGGAAGAGCACACATGCGATAATGCTTTGCTTTCGAGGTGACCGACTATGGTTCCTTTGAAGGGGCGGGATGGAGTTGACACTTCATAAATCATGGACACAATAGGTAAGACAAGTTGTTCTAAGTCATCAGGGGGATGCCATTCATTAGTATCACAATAATACCATGTATTTGTTGTGAGGTCTAAGTACAGTAGACTCCAGTGGCATCCAGGATGGACTGGAGTGCTAAAAAACACATTTCCGGATGATTTTCCCATGTTGGTAATGAAAGTTACATACTTAGTCGATCCCTTAATCTGGACTTGCAAAACCTCACGTTGATGTTCTTTGTCCATTTGAAGAAATTCGTTGAGCATGTGAACTGATGTTTCTGTACATGCTTTTTGCAGAATCTCCACTATGCCAGCGAGAATACTACCGTGGATCCATCAGTGTTCTTACCAGGAATTTCTTTCAGGGGGTCAAAGGGCCAACCAATCCGAAATTTAGGGGCCATTTAGAAAACTGGATGGGCCATTTCCAAAATCTTAAAACAATGAATAATAATGTTTTTAGCCAGTAACTCTGTTGCAAATCTACGACAATGTAAGACAGTTTTATTAGTAGTGACAACACAATAAAATTTCGCTGGGCAGCCATAATTGGGCCATCAATAAACAGAGGCAGTTAACACAGACTAATCCCAGACGTCTTGGCGATGGCGGCTATGTTGGATTCGTGGCGTTTCATGTGGACTTTCACCTTGTTTATTGACAATATAATGCGACTTTTATTATTTCAAAAGTACTCTAAATCTTTTAAACTAGCTGGAAGTATTCTTTGGATAATTTATGCGCCCTTGGGGGCGCACAGATTTGACATTTGTGCGCCATTTCTGATTTTTATGCGCGAATCCTGCAATGGCGCGGCCTGGTAAGAACACTGGATCCATTCTTTACCAGCAACAGTGGCCAAATCTGAAGCTAGTATAATATAATTTTTTTCCAGTGCACAATTGCCATCGGGATTGTTGAAAATACAATTGGCGAAAGTAGAGCAGTCCTTATTCTGCAGAACTATGGCAAGCCAAATGTTGCAATATTCAAAAGACAGACATTTAGTCAATTCAATGACGATTTATTCTATTCAGTGACGATTTAGTCTATTAAATGAAATGATTTATACGATTCAATGAGCTCATTCGATTCAATGAAATGATTCATTCAATTCAATTCAATGATTCATTCAATTCAATGATCCTGGGGAGGGAACGGTCAATCTCTCATGTCTGACAGCAGGAACGCCTGGCATTTGATGAAGAGTAACTTTTAAACATGGATGAAGAAATACCAGAATATCTTATCTCAGTTCTTGATAAAACTGAATGCATCTTTGATTCCAATCATCCAGCCGACATGAATACCATAGAAATGCATGAAGTTGTTCTAGATAGAATTGTTAGCTTTTTACGAGAGATTAGTGAAATCCAGTGTGATGATCAACAAGATTATAGACCTATGTAAGCGGTTACTTACGCTCCCTTGGCCCGAGGGTCCAAAGAAGCAGGGTATGAGAAAGTATTGCTAGACTAGACCCTAAGAATTCTGCTGGGGTGTAGTAGTCTCTCGTAGAAAATATTATGTACCTTGGCCCTATTCCCTTTGGCACCTTGATGGCCATCACTCACTAATACGCTGGGGATTAGTCATTCATGGTTGCATTGATGGGTTTTCAAGAAGAGTGATGTTTCTTCAATGCAATGACAACAACCTCTCTGAGACCGTTTTGTTGTTATTTATAAATACTATTGATGGTATTGGAGGATTGTGGCCTTCCCGAATACGTGTGGACAGAGGAGTGGAAAATATACTAGTGTGTGATGCTATGGTTGAGGCTCGTGGCCAGAACAGAGGCAGCTTTAAAGCTGGACCATCAACCCACAACCAGAGAATTGAACGTCTTTGGAGGGATGTATTCCGCTGTGTTGCACATTACTTTTACTATGTTTTCTATGCCTTGGAGGACTCTGGCATCCTTGACATTAGTAACCAAGTTCACATGTTTGCATTACATTTCACATTTTTGCCCAGAATCAACCAAGCTTTTAACAACCACAGCATTCGAACAGCAAGAAACTTGTCACCTTACCAACTGTGGTTAAATGGCATGATGCACCAGGATAACCCTTTGGCTAAAGGTGAACTTGATGAAGACCCAATAGACTTTCATAACTATGGTCAGGATGCTGATGGACCTTCTCCCTTTGAGGAAAGTGACAACAATGTCCAAGCCCCTTCTATTGATTTAGATCATGCAGAGAGCATAACCACCCAGCTCAAACAAGCTATTGATTCCTTGAGGTCCACTACTGAAATGGGGATTGATATTTATATTGAAGCTCTTGCATTTGTA